TGAAATCTTCATAACAGCTCTGTCAAGTAGGTACTTAGTGCTATTACAACAGAAATACCACAAGTGGGTGGCTTTAACGAACGGAAATTTACTTTCTGACAGCTTTAGGAGGCTAGAAGTTTGAATTCAGGGCACCAGCTCTAGCAGAAGGCTCTCTCTCTGTCTACTCTAGGAGAAATCCTTGTCTCAGCTTCTCTAGCCCCTGGCATTCCTTGGTGATCTCCAAGTGGCATCTGTCTTTCCCACAAATCTATCTTTGTACTTCCTTGTGTCTGTGCCTAATCTGCTCTTTTTACATCTCAAAAGTGGTTAGGTTTAAAACACATACCACACCCATATGGCCTCATCACTATAACAAAGAAATGTACCTAGGATTACATCCACAGGTATAGGGGTTAGGATTGCAACACAAATTTTTGGAAGACATAATTCGATCCATAACAGTACTATTATTTACTATCCCCATTTTAGAACTGGGAAAACCAAGATAGAGAAAGGTTAAAAGCAAGCTGTGGAGCCTGACCTCAAGCCGAACCTGTCTGACTGGGGAGCCCAGCACTTTCCATGTGACTCCCCTACCTCTTGGACCTGTTCCCCAAACCCTGTGGAATAAGGCAGCGCTGAGTAAAATATAGTTTTAAAAGGACATCTTTTTGAAAGGCCTCCGTCAAAGTGGTTTAAAATGTAAAAGGTTTCAATGGATTTCCTTTGGGTTGGAGGATATCATTTATGAAAAACTCCACGTTTTAGGAAGGACCCCAGAAAAATCACCCCAATATAAGTGACATTTCTCCACCAGCACCACCAAGGTGCCCTGGATTTAATCCTGTTAAACTATCCTCTCTTCCCTTTTAATATGAATAAGTCTAAAGCCTTTAGTGAGAGGCCACCCTGTTCCCTTTCAAGAGCCAGGAAGAACAATAACACGATCTGTTTCCTAGGCTTCTTTGTTTGACCTAGAAATACCTCAAGGTCAGGTTCAGGTCATCTCCAGGTTACATCAAATCTCACTGGCAGCAAGGTCAGCATAGTGTTGTAGGGTAAAAACATCACAAAGTTTAATAAAGCAAAAAGAAAGTTTTATTTGGCATATATTCAAAAAGGCAAAAGTGGGAAACGGACAACCACGCTGCCAGAGCCACGTATGCCCAAGTCCAAGGAAATACCACAGAACAGACAAAAGTGGCAAAACGGACAAGCATACTGCCACAGCCATGTCTGTCCAAGTCCAAAGTATATTACAGAACAGGAAAGAATGGGAAAACGGACAAGCATGCTGGCACAGCCACGTCTGGGAGTCCAGAGACCATTACAGAGTTATCGGTATATATTAACCTTACAAATGGGCAAAACCAATGAAAGCTTCGCCTTTTCACAGATTGGCTAGAAACTGTGATCCTACATTTTGAATTGTCTTTCTTAATAATCATTGGTACAGGTTTCAGTAATGTCAGGAGGGTCTTCATTGGTCCAACAAGTTTTCCATTCACTAAATGCTAATAGAAAAAGATAAGAGTGAAAAGTCTTTTTGTGTTCTGTTTGATTGGCTTTACATGAAAGATCCCCTAAAAGATACTTTTCTTCCCTAAAAGATAATTTCCAAGATTGTCTCATCTATTATCTTTATCTCAGGGCCCAGTTGAGGTGTCCTCATGAGTCCTTGGGGGCCCTTGGGGGCCTAGTTCCAGCTGGGTCACATTCTCAATGCTCAAGGACAGGAATAATGATTCCAATATTATTTTCTAAATCAATAGTTAAGAGTTAAGTACACAGGCCACACCTGGGAATAAGGTAGCTGTGTGATATGGGAGCCCTGGTGGCATAGTGGTTAAGAGCTTAGCTGCTAACTAAAAGGTTGACAGTTTGAATCCACCAGCCGCTCCTTGGAAACCCTATGGGGCAGTTCTACTCTGTCCTACAGGGTCGCTATGAGTTGGAATCGACTCAGCAGCAACGGGGTTTGTTTAAGCAACATTTATTGAGTTCCTTGTGTGTGCCAGACACTGCTGGAAGATGGGTGTTTGATGGGAAATGAGACAAAGTCTCATGGAGGCATCAGATAACAGTAAATAAATAGATGTGAAGTGGTAATTTCAGGTGAAAGGAAGAGCCGTAAGGAGAATAAAGCAGGGTTGGGAACAGGGAGTGAAGGAGGACGGGGCTATTTTAGGTAGGGTGATCAGAGAAAGCTTCTCTGAGAAGATGAAATTAAGCAGTGCCTTGAATGAAGTGGAACCCTGGTGGTGCAGTGGTTAAAGTGCTTGGCTGCTAATGGAAAGGTTGTCAGTTCAAACCCACCAGTGGGAGAAAAATGTGGCCATCTGCTTCCATAAAGATTACAGTCTTGGAAACCCCAAAGGACAGTTCTACTCTGTCCTACAGGTTCACTATGAGTCAGAATCAGCTCACTAGGGAACGGTTAACATTATGCAAATTGTTTAATTTCTCTGATCCTCAGTGTCCTCATCTGCAAACAAAGAACAATATTAGTACCTATTTCCTGGGGCTGCTGCAAGGAGTCAATGAGATAATGCTTGCTAAGTCTTAACAGAGTAGTGGCTCAATAATTGTCAGTTTTTATTACAGTGAAACCTGTGAGTTGGAACTCATGGGACTGCCTTGTTTTTCCGAGTCTCACAGGTTTTCTGCCTTTGACAGGGTGCAGGCTCACCACTTTTCTACCACTCGTTTTAGTGGAAAATATTTGAGTTTTCCTTCTCCGACAGGTTTCTGTCCTACAGTTTCTGGCTTTCGCAGGTTTCACTTTGTTACTAAATACTGGTGAGAGTGGTAACTACGAGTATTTCTGCTTTGTATATGTGCATCAGATATTTTTGTCTCCTTCACTTATAAAATATAAGATGTAAACAGGGCTAGTGCGTTTTCGATTGTATGCGTGTTGGTTGTATCATGTTAGGCGAAAGTATGACTTTATAATTGTCTTTATTCAGAGAGTATGTATGGTTTAAGGAGATGTGTACATGTGCCAAGGTAACAAGGGGTGGACTGTGATGGTTAAGATTGTGTGTCAGCTTGGCTGGGCCATGATTCTGTGTTTATATGTCACCACTCCCATGACTGAATATGCTGTGAGCAGCCAGTCAGTGGAAAGGGAGTTTCCTCAGGGGTGTGGCCTGCATCTGAACGTAAGCAGACATTCTAGCTTTTTCCTGCTCTGGATGGTGCGGCTGCCTCCTGTTCATCTGACCTCCAGTTATTGGGACTTGTGCTAGCAGCTTATCTGCTGATCTTGGGATTCGCCGATCTTCACAGCCTGTGAGCAGAGTCCTGCTTTCCAACCTGCCAATCTTGGGTTTGCCAGCCGCTGCAGCTACGTGAATCTGGAGAAGCCTCTATCCTAATCCACAGACTTGGGACATTCCAGCCTCTACAATCGCATGAGCTGTTTCTTTGATATAAATCTCTCTATATATATATTTATATGCTTTCCTGGTTTTGCTTCTCTAGAGAACCCAACCTACGACACCCTATATTGTGTGTTGCCTTTCCCTTCACCAAAGTTAACTTGCCTACTATTTAGTCAGTGATTTCCCCTCCTCACCTCTCCTCTCCCTCGTAATCGTCAAAGATTTTTTTTTTCCTGTGTGTAAACCTTTTCCTGGGTTTTTATAATAGTGGTTTCATACAATATTTGTCCTTTTGTGATTCACTTATTTCACTCAGCATAATGCCCTCCAGTTTCATCCATTTTGTAAGATGTTTCATGGATTCACATTGTAGTTTATTGTTGCATAGTATCCCGTTGTGTGTATGTACCATAATTTGTTTATCCATTTATCTGTTGTTGGGCACTTAGGTTGCTTCCATCCGTAGGGCTTTCAATGGCTGATTTTTTTAGTAGATCACCAGGACTCTGTTCCTAGGCACCTCTGGGTGGACTCAAACTGTCAACTTTTCAGTTAGCAGCTGAGCATGTTAACCATTTGCACCACTCAGGGACTCCAAACCAGGGATAGGCAAACTTCTTCTGTAAAGGGCCAGATGGTTAAGTATTTTCAGCTTTGCGGGCCAAACGTCTCTGTCACAAGTACTCAACTTTGCTTTTGTAGCTCAAAAGCAGCCATAGACAATAACTTCAGTGCAGTGAATTACTTAACATGGCCCTTCTAGCCATAGTCTTTGTGACTCTCATACAGTGATTGAGTGGGACTACACAAATAAGGTGCTTGTGGCCCACCAAGGGGATTGGACACCTTGCTGCTGATGCAAATAAGGTGCATGGAAACTGTGATGGTTAATGTTATGTGTCAACTTGGCTGAGCACGATTTCCAGTTGGTTTGGCAGTTATGTAATGAGGTAGTCATCCTCCATTTTGTGGTCTGATGTAATTGTCCTTCATTTTGTGATCTAGTCGGCCTCCATTTTGTGATATGCTGTAAATTCTAGCCTCTGTGCCTGTGGTTATGGTCCCATTTGGAAGTGAATTGCCCATTATGTTAACGAGGGAGGATTAGGGTAGGCTGGATCTTGAGTCACTGCCTTACCAGAGGTGTGACTCAAGTCACCACTCTTACCCCAGTCACCACACTTACCACCCTTATTCAAGTCACACCCTTGCACAGCCTTGCTCACGTAAGGGAAGTTTTCTTGAGGGTATGTTCTGCATCCAATATACGTATCTCTCTTGCTCTGGGTCCTGCATCTGGCTCTTCATCTGACTTCTGGTTCTTAGAACTTGAGCTATCGTCTAATCTGATTCACCAGCTTCCACAGCCTTGTGAGCCAGCAGCCTGTCATTTGACCTGCTGATTTGGGTTCATAAGCCCCTGCAACCACGTGAGTCAGGAGAAGTCTCCAGCCTGATGCCTGACCCACAGATTTGGGACTTGCCAGGCTCCACAACAGCATGAGCCATTTCCTTGACAGTTTATGAGTTCTGTGAGACGTTGCAGTGAATTACAGAACCCAAAGACGGGAGAGAGTACTGAAGAGAGGAAGAGGAGTTGATGTTAGAGATGATGGAACGGTACAGCAGTTTGGAAAAGTTGGACATTTGGGACATCTGTAACCTCCACCTTACAGGAATCAGCCTTGTGCTGATCCTTCGAAAAGAAATCATTCATTCAGTAAGCGAGTGGGTGTGGCTGTATTCCAATAAAACTTTATTTACAAAAACAGGTAGTAGGCCGGATTTGGTCTGTGGGCCACAGCTTGCAGCCCCTGCTCTTTGCCAGCCCACATCTCTTCTATATAACCAATAAAGATACAGTGGCATGTGGATAAAAAAGTGACATCTCTTTAATTTAAAATGATGACCTGGAAAGAACTAGTCAGTTCAAGTGCTCCAGGCTTCCTCTTTACACCCAACTGGAACAGACACAATATTGGCTCAGATTTCCAACCCCAGCAAATAATCAAATCAAGTCGCAAATCTGCAGGCAGTCCCTGCAGCTACCCTGCTGGGGCCATCAGGCCCCATGTAGGGAGCAAAGGGCCCAGTTGCCAGGGATGCTGCTTTTCAGCCACACTGAGAAGCGCTTTCCTTCTGCCACTCAACTTTCTTGCTGGGCCTGATTCCTCTCCACCTCTATGTAGCTGGTAATATGTGCATGCCTCCACGGAGAGGCTGGTGGCATGAGAGTCACCTCCCAACTGTCTTTGGGGACATCTTCCCATGATCCCATAGTGAAGGCAGGCAGTCACATGCATCCAGGCAAGTAGCATCTCGCACTCGTTAGCTGAGATCTAGAGCCTCAAGTTGTAACCATCAGTCATGTATGGTCAAGGCACCGGCAGCAAAATGGCAAACTTAGGTAACAATTTGGGGAGACACAAGGGTCTCCACAACCAATGGCAATTCTGAAAATGAAACAAACAAATGCCATCTGGGTAAAATCATCTCAGAGGAGAAAGCGTAAAGACGGAACAGGGAACAGGGAACAACCTCGTTCAGCATTTCAACAGGAACAGGGAACAACCTCCTTCAGCATTTCAAGGTCTGTCTGCTCTTCCCCGAGCAAGAAGTGAAGGAGGGCAGAGTTCAAAGGTCTCAAATCTTAGGTCCACTTCGACTCTCCCACCTCTTACATTCAGTGTCAATCGTGGCTTCAGATTAATTCTAGCCACAAGGTGCTGCATAATGTGTCGAGGGAGAAGAGTCCAGAGTGTGATGCTGAGCAGGCTTTTTTTGCACTGAATTTTGGGAACATGGAGTCAGAGAGAGGGAAGGAAGAAGGGTGTGGCCACAGAGCTGCACTCAGAGGTCCTGGAGGCCTCCCTAGAAGGGGTTCATGGACAGAATAAATACTACTGCCTTGCGGCAAGCCTTCTAGAAAAAGCTCACAGGTCACCTCAGACCCACTACAGTGGAACAAGCTTCCACACTGGTTAGCTTTTCATTTCTCTGAAATGTACAGCACCCCAAAGCCTGATGCTTGACCTGAGTCAAAAGACATTGGGACAAACTACCAATGGGCTGGCTGCCCAGGACTCTGGAAGGTCAGATGGCAGCCAAGCCAGTCCCTACTGCACTCAGCATCCCTGAGCCCAGCTGGCTGCTCTGGGCGAGTTTCTGAGCCAAAGTTGCTGACATCCTGGATGTATTGCAGAGGCAGCCCAGGGCACTAACAAGGATCTTGTTATGCCCAGGGGTGGGGGGCGAGAACACAGTATTAACTAAAGTCCCCTGAGAACCGAGGCACAGTGAGAAGGAGAAAAGGATGGAGTTTCCTCTGTCACTCTGCCTTCCCAGGGAGAAAGATATTGCACTACTATCAGCACCACTGACATGATTTTACTCAAAACGATGGCACCTAGGAAGGGGCAGTTCAGCACAGACCCCTGCCGTGAGAGCGCCTCCAGTGACAGCCTTCCTTATAGCTGTCCTCAGTCGAGTCTGGGTCATGTCACAGGCCATGGCTCATGGCAACACATGTCCCATCACCAGAGCCTGGACCCCTAGCTAACCAACCTGCCAGTTATTAGCAATGCAGCTCAAGTGGTGGAGGGTAAGAGAGTGAGTCCTAGGAGCCCAACAAGCTCCTCTTCCCAATCTCCTACTTTTCACAGAAACACTAGGCCCCTAAATGTCCATCAAAGAAGGAGCTGTCCATGTGGCTGGCCCTAGCCTAAGGCCAATCACAGAACCCACTTACAAGGCCCCGGAGGTTTCATCCAATCACAGCAGAGGGCTGGCTTAACCCTTGCCCTCATTGGATGATGCTGTCCTGCTGCCCGTTCTGGGCCACCTGTCCGGGGTCAGAGGCTGGAGTGGGGTTTGGTGTGTTATTCTGCAGGTAGCGACGGAAATCTTTAATCATGGGCCGGAGGACCTGGATAAGGACACTCAGGGCTGCCTGGGTGCCCTCCATGGCCTGGGCCTGGCGTTCCTGGGCACAAGCTTGCACTTCTTGGGAGCGGCGGATCATCTGCAGGAGGTCGTTCTGCTGTTCCAGGTGCTGGGCAATCTCCTTCACGTGTAAATTAGTGACCCGCTGCTCCTGGATCAGCTTGGCTGAGTTGAGGGCAATGCGGCTCTTGAGTGCCTGTGGCTTGACCGACGTGTCTGCGTGCTGTGTCATCATCTCCACAGGGGCCTCAGCTGGCAGTGGAGGGGGAGCCTCGGTTGTGCAGTACTCTACCACTCCGTCCTCCAGGGTGTGATAGGTGGTCTCAGTGGGGACTGCAGGGAAGAAAGAGCAAAGGCAGAAGCAGGTTATTCTCTGGAACTGCACAGGGTGAGAAGGAAGCCATTAAGCTCTGTCCTTGAGAGAGACAAAGGGGAATTCAGACCTCCCATGGCTTTGTAGCTTTTCATGTATAAATCTAGAATCTAAGGGATTTAGATTCAGAATTTTAATCCACTTGGTAACCAAAAGTCCAGCCCCAGGTCTGGCAAAAGCACAGATGCTAATAAGGATACTAACAACAATTTTAGAGCACCTACTATGTGACAAGCACTGAGCTAAGCCCTTTACACTCAGCCCAGTGACTCCTTACAATGACACCAAGAGGTAGGTACCATCACTTCCATTTTCAGAGATGAGAAAACAGACTCACAAACATGGAGTGACTTGCATATCATCACACAGCTAATGCAGCAGCACCAGGATGCAAATCCAAGTCTCCACGACATCAGAGTCCAACATGCACCTTACCACCCACCGGAGCTGCTTCTCGCTAATAAAAATACCTCAGAGGCAAGCCAACACACTCCTCGTAGTGCCAGACACACAGCAGGCATCTCACGTGGGGCTCTCCACTCAAGCTGTTTGCAGCCAGACTAGCCATGCCTCCTTTGGTGCTTTCTTGACCTCCACATACCTTATGGACAAGCAGAAAAGGAGTGGGGCAGCAGCAGCAAAAGTGCCCAATAAATGTCTCACTGTCTCCCTGATTACCTTGGTCAGTGGGATACCTAAAGGTACTTCCTGTTCCAGAACAGAAACTGATTTAGACCAATGTTTGTCCTCCTTCTCCCACCTCAATATACCTGAGAAATGACACTTTTCTATCAGCAATTGCAGAAGTGATGGCCCGCATATACGTTCAACTTCCCCAAGCCCACTGAGAATCAGTGATTGATACAGTTCATAGCCCAGCTCAAGCGAGCAGAGTTAACAGTCACTAGCACAAACACTTATCTGAAATAAAAAATTCAACCAGAGCAAGTTCCATTGTTCATAGCTGAGAACCTTTGAAGGGATTCTAGGGGAGCTGTTTGGGCCTCAATGCATGTGGGAAAGGTTAATCTTCATCTCTCAAAGCCAACATCAACTGGGTGCTCCCCATCCCTGCTGGAATTCTCCCAGCTGGAATACCTCTTTCTCTTCGGAGTCCCTAGGTTTTCCCAACTGACAGTGCAGTTATTCCTATGTGCGTCTCATCTGTCTTCGAGAATATAACTGGGCTCTATTTTAGACACCTTGGTAATCTCAGTGCCCAGCACAGGGCTTGGCAAAAAATAAGTGCTATTGTTTGATGAATGAATGAATGAATGAGTAGATTATCAGCAGGAACCATCAGGTTCTTCAGGAACATAGCAGTGCCTGATGAAGGTTCACACGCTAAAAACAGATTGTCCAGAACTGATGTCCCACTAGGGCATTTTTATTACCATCTAATCATTCAACTATGTCCTGACTGCCTACTACGTGCTAGGCCCTGTGATAAGTCCTGTGGGGATACAGACATGGTCTCCGTCTTCAAGGACCACACAGTTCAGTAAATGAAGATAAGTCATGCATGGATATAAATGGTGGCAAAACACAGCAGAAAGCTATCCAGCTCATCAGTAGTCCAGACTACTTGCTGAGGAAGTCCCAAAGAGAACCAGATCACTTATGTCTGGAAAGCTCTTAAAGGACCTCTGGTCTTCCAGGACCACCATCTGACCTTTGACCCTTGGCAGCCAACCTTCCCCACGTTGTCCCAGCTCTTGCTGACCCTTCCCACTTATGTATGCCAAACTGGGCAGGAGAGGTCACTCACTCTGTGTCAGGGTGACCGTGGCTGCGGCTGCAGTGGCTGTGGGTCCGAGGGCCACAGGGTGGATCTCTGTGGTAGTGGGCAGGCTGATGATGGTGGCCTCGCCCAGCAGGTTGCAGATCCGTTGCTGCATGGGGGTCAGCAGTACAGGGGCTACAGTTGGGCCACCACTGCCACTGCCACCACCTGTCCCAGGCCCACCAGCTCCGTCCTCCTCAGTGGGCCCAGGGGCCTCGCCACCTTCCACGGCCGCCCGCACCTGGGCAACCTTGCGACGGACCTCAGTCTTGAGATCAGACCACTTTTTCTTGACCTCAGGCAGCTCCCTTCGGCAGGTGGCCACAGCGTTGACCCTTCTCAGAATGCTGTGCCAGGCCGCGCTCTTGGCGGCCAGAGGTACCCCAGCGTTGAAGTGGTTCACCAGTAGGTGCTTCTTCAGCTCCAGTTCCTCCACGATGATCTCCACCTCCCGCTCAGAGAAGTTCATCTTCCTCTTCTTGGCTGGGACAGCCATGGCCTCTCCCCTCCCTTCTTTTTAAATAAAGTATAATCCCCTCAACTGCCCAAATTCCCCTTTTCTTCTTCCTCAGCCTCGCCCCTCACCCCCCCACCCCCTACAGGGGCTAGGCCGGTCTTGCCCAAGGCCAAGCACCAGGCCTTGGGTAACCCCTCTCGCTACGCAAAATGCGTAGGGCCCAGCCTTGACCCGACTAGCCGCTGCCAGCCAGCTGCGTAATGGCTTCCTGAATCTGCCTCTTCCGCCGGGGTGTGCGGTGATCCGCCCACTTCCCCTCTTCCCGCCTCCTAGCGCCTCTCCAGGGGAACCCGCCCTGCCGGTTGGTAGCTGCGCAAAGATCAGGTCGATCACTGGTTCTTTTGGTCTGTCGTTCAGATTAAAAAAGCCCGCCTACTTAACGGCATTGGCCTGATCATTGGCCTAAAGGAGTGTCTGTCGATACACATCGCTCCTCCCATTTCAGCACTTGCTTACTTCCATTGGAAAGTCATTCTGTCATTCAATCATCAGTATTACGACTGTTGCGCCGTTAAATTCAGGTATTTTATTAGTGGTTTAGGAGTTAGACTAGCAAAACCCGGCTTCCTAAGGATACGTAGTGCTTTCGGTCTTGAGCCACTGGCCAATTAATTTTTAATTCCACCCATGGATGTAAATTCTGCAGTTCACAACTCTGCTCACACAAAGCCTGTTCCTTATCGGAGACTACAATCTTTCTGTACCCAACCCCTCCTTCCATCCTTACGATTCCGCAATCTAAACAGCGTTTTTCAGTGGAAATTGGACACGGGGCCCTCCGCCTGCCAGTCATTGACCTCTGCCTATCGCTGCGTGATTTCCTCTCTCCGGCCCGCTTCAGCCAATCCCGGACTCCCTCAGTTTGAATCGGCCCCAGGCTGAGTCGGGATCGCCCCGCCCTCCCCATTAAGCCGAGAAGGCCTGAGTGGTGTGGGCCGTCCTTAGGTAGGCTCCGCCCCGCAACCCGCCCCGCCCTGATCGCTGCCCGGGCCTGTGACTGGACGGAGGAAGGCCTGGGGGCGTGGTCAAAGAGTGGGCGCGCGGCGGGGGCGGGGCTCCCGGAAGCGGCCCCTCCCGCCAGCTTGCCGGCATCTCCGAGCCCGCGCCCGCGGCGTGAGTATACGCGGCGTGTCTTCCGCGCTCTGCCTGCCGTCCCGCCGCCCAGTCCCGCGCCCGGCGCCCCTGCCTCGCGCCCGATGGTGAGCAGTGTGTTGTGCCGCTGCCTGGCCTCCCCGCCGCCGGACGCTGCCGCCGCCGCCGCCGCCTCGTCTTCCGCTTCGTCGCCTGCGTCCGTAGGGGACCCGTGCGGCGGCGCCGTCTGCGGGGGCCCGGACCACCGGTTGCGCCTGTGGAGCCTCTTCCAGACGCTCGACGTCAACCGCGACGGAGGCCTGTGTGTCAACGACCTGGCGGTGGGGCTGCGGCGCCTGGGATTGCACCGCACCGAAGGCGAGCTCCGGGTAGGTGGCGCGCACCGCCCGCGCGGGCGGGCAGGGGGCCACTTTGCTGCTCTTCTACACCTCCAGGAGGGCCTGGTGACGGGTCTGGACGACCTGGCTTCTTGGACAGCAGCTTGGAGCTTGGCAGGTCCGGGTGGACCGCCCCTTGAGCTGGGTGGGACCCCTAATGTTCAGAAGGGTATTGCCCCCGACTGACAGGTAGACAACCCATTTGCGCCCTGGTGGGAGTAGAGTCCCTTCCTGACTTCTGTGGGTGCTTGGGCTTAGGGAAAAAGGCTCTTCATAGGCATAGGCGGGCGCCCTCTGCGTCTTCTGATGGGCGAAAAGCCGCTTCTTGCCAGGGCTTTCCCCAAAGTAGAGGGGCAAGTATCAGGAGTCCCCCCTTCTCACCTCCTGATCTCGAGGCCAAGCTAGATACCCCCACCCCGTCATTGACAAGTTCAGCCATCTCCAGCAGCATCCCCTTTCCCTCTGTTTCCACGCTACCCGTGGGCGGTGAGCTGGTTCCTGTCAGAAGCATGTGGGAGTGGGAGAAAATGGGAACTGGGGTTTCAGGCAGATCTTTGACATGTGGGTGGTGAGGACTGACAGTTCTCATGATTTCAGGCTCATCCCCTTGCTATACTTATCCAGAAAATGGGACTATGATCTCTTGCAGGGTTGTAATGTGGCTGGAGTGGAAGAATTTGGGGAAGAGTCTTCCTAAAAGAGAAAGTGTTACATACCCAGGAGGGGAGATTGTTAGTTTTGTTCTGGAAGGAGTCCTTTGCCAAGGGGCAGGGGTGTGTGGGGGGAAATGGCCATATTTGGGACTGTCAGAGAGAAATACTGTCCTTTCTATATTAGAGCCTGGAGCGCTGGCTGCTTCTTCCCCTTTTGTCTCTCCTGGTATGTTTTTCTAACTTTGTAGATGTAGCTACGCTCTCCCAAGTATTTAATTTATCATGGCTTAGCCTGATTACAACTTGAAGTCGGACTACCGAGAGCTAATAATCTGTTTCTCTCCTAAGTTAGTTTGTTTGGTCCATTTGTACACACAATAAGAGCCAAGTATGAAAAAATTTTCTGGTAAAACAGCAGTGAATTAAAGCAATTTGTTGGTTGGGTAGGTGTATACATAGGTGCTTTTAAGTCATGTCCAAGATATCTTGGATCAACGTCCAAGATATTTAACCTACTTAGGATCAGTCTAGTAAGACCAAGGGTAACACTATGCAAGATAGAATCATTGGGTGAAGTCCAAGAGATTTAAAGACAAGCTTTAAATTTTTTTTAAAAGTCAGTTTTACACAAAATGGTGTGAGCTGGATGTTTCCCCATACATAAGTCACTTGGAAAGATGGCATGACTAAACTCAGGATCTGTACCTTAGGGGCTCAGAGAGGTATGGGTCTGGGGTGAACCTTTCTGCTTTTATGAACCTATTCACTTGGCACATGCCACCATTCATATTGAAGGCATCTGGCTGCCGGAGTGTATTAAATGTTCACACCACACTTTGTGCCACAGTTGGAGTCACAGTGTTCTTGTGGTTCATGGCACATCTGATATTGATCCTAATCCATTTTTTTGGCAGTAAATTTCTAAGGGCAAATGAGAAAGTGATCATTTTTCTTTTGAGTGTTGAAAGAAAGCCTTTTGGATTAACTAAAAGGAGCCTAGCCCCTTGGGGTCACTTTGACCCTAAAATCTTTGACTCTGTGACTCTGTAAAACACGGTGGTGCATGGGCATCTGACCTCCTCTAACTTCACAAGGGGAACGGAGAATCAAGATCAACAGCCCAAGGCTGATTCCTGGGAGACGGAGGTCAGACATACCTCCTCTCTCTAATCTTTTTACCAATTCTGACACCAGCCGTCCCTCCCACGGCACTCTCTGCTTCTCTGCTGAGTTCGATAATTCTTTGCAATGGCCACACAGAACTCACAGACCATACTCAACAGTTATGGAGTTTATTAGGTTACAGCTGAGAATCAGGAACCACTCAGTATACAGTTCTTCGATCAGGATAGCCTCTTCTCAGCTTTGGCCTCTCAATCCCTCAGCCCAGCCTCTGTCCTGCTCGCGCAAGTGTTACTAAGCTCTTTAGTTCCTCCAGTAAGTGCCCGGGGGCACCCCACTCTACCAGCAAGCCTCGACCTGAAGGTGCTCAGCTCTATAGCTCTGTGGGTCAGCACACCCACTGTAACTGCCTTATTCTGTGGGCTGGGAAGCCCGCTGTGCCCTCTCGCGCTGGTCTCCGGGTTCTGCTGCCGCCACTTTGCCACCACTTCTCACTGTCTTACTCCATCTCTGATATAGCTCTCTCTTTCTGTCTCTCTCTCTGTCTCCTGGGTCTTAGAGGTTCTCAGTGAAGGGACCCCAGGTCCAAAGGACATGCTCTACTCCTGTCTCTTCTTTTTGGTGGTAGTGAGGTCCCCTCATTAGGGTTCCATACATCTTATTTGCATGGTCCCACTGCTACAAGGGTGCCATGCACCTTATTCACATTGTTCAAAAGCCATCCAATCCCCTCAGTGGGCCACAAGCCCTCATTTGCATCGTCCCAGCCAGTCATTTGGTGGGAGTTATAAGGCCATGGTGAGAAAGCCATATGAAAGCGATCTGTTCGACTGCAGATGTGAAACACTTCATGATATGAAACCCTTCTTTTTTATTCTTTTGGTCCATGAATTTAGTGTGCACTGTTTTTCTACAACTCTTTCAGCTTTGGAACAAGTTAAATTGTTAAATTCTCTCTTCAGGAGAGATGGAGAATGATCCATTTTATTAGTTTATTATACCTGTAGGGAGCACAGGTTAGTCTAATGGTGAGTTTTTTAAGTATTGAGGAGAGAATCTGCCTTTTTGTAAATAACTGGGCAACAGGAAGATACCTTGCCTCTTATACCACCAAATCACTTCCTGTTTAAGTAGTATCAGTATTAGCTACCTACAGACAAAGCAGTGCTACAGGTTTGTGGAACTAAGCAGCTGCCTTCTAGTGGATTTTAACTCATGGCCACCCCATGTGTGTCAGAGTAGAACTGTACTCCATAGGATTTTCAATGGCTGAATTTTTCAGAAGTAGATCGCCAGGCCTTTCTTCAGAGGCACCTCAGAGTGGACTCTAACCTCCAACCTTTCAATTAGCAGCCAAGTGCATTAACTGTTCGCACCACCCAGGGACTCCTTTGCATAACTAGCAAGAGCTAAAAGAGAATTTTAGCTCTTCAATTCAAAATCAATCATCTGCCATGCGAATAGGTGTTGCAAAACACATCAAACTTTGGAAGCTGCTTCCTATGACCCAGAGGACCAGTCTGAGATACTAGGGTTTGCACAGGAATCAGTTTAGAGTGCTTATCAGGGGGTGGTAGGTGAACCCTGGCCTTGTGACTGCACAAAGCCTCCTGCTAGCTTCCAACGGCCTGGGTCAAGTTTTCTTTAAAAACAAACCAGCAAGTTTTGGCATCTGCCTTTGTTGTAGAAGAGCTTGGAACAGTCAAAGAAAATTTACTTAAAATGGAAGTGGGCAGAGAAACTCATGGCAGCCAGCCAGGGAGATTTTTCTTTGTGAAGGGCATGTGAGCAAGAAGTCTATCCAGGGACAAAAGAAGGGAAGGGTTTATTAAAGAAAGAGAAAGAGAAAAGATAGTGACAACGGTAGTGATCTTGGGAGATGAGGCTTCAGCCGGAGCTAATTATAGCATTGCCTATTTAAGGCATTTTCATGTGACCGAATAAAACCTTTGTCTTAAAACAAATTTAAAACATAGGTTAGAGTTCCACCCGCCAATCAGAGGAAGAAAGCAAGCTGTGTTACATGTAAACAGTTGTCCGTTTCGCTGAGGCTTGTGGAGAATGGGCTTTCTTACGGGGCTGGTGTTTAATGCGGGTGAGGATTCTAGATGATGGTGTGGTTGGGTTTGCTGATTTAGACACTTCAGTAACGTGGCTTGAGCTTGCATATGCATCATGTCACGGTAAAGTAGACAAGGCAGTCATTTTACCCCATTTTATTGGTGAAGGAACAGAGGTTCTAAAAGATGACGGAACAACCTCAAAAACCATTTGACACTAAGAGGCAGACAAGGAATTAGAAACAGCTCTAATTCCTGGTCCACCCCTCTTTAACTATACCAGTTGTTTCTGAGGAATATGAAGAGTTCCAAACCTGGGTGTTCTGGAGAAGTTGAGAAAGA